GAGTGGCAATCCTTGATATTTGGCTTTGGTCTTCCATATTATCTCCCTCAATTTGATTTCATATTTCCATTCCAAGGACCACGTTATGAATTTGTGAGGTATATAGGGATGTGGGGCTACACTTTATGTCAATCAAATCGAATCGAGTCAGGTTAAGTTGAAATTGTAAGATTAAAGTGTGACAATGAGCTAAATTTGAACTCGAATGAATTAGCTTTAGTTGATGCCTTAGATGCTCGATTGAGCATGATTATTATATAAATTGAGTTGAAATCAACTTTAATTGAATCTAGGTGTCATGATATTAGAGCATTCATAATGTTTTTAGTATAGTTTTGCTTACTTGATATATATATAAATGAACTAAAGTCTTGAATGACATAGATAAAATCATATAAAACAGCAAAAATCATTCTAATACAAGGAGATCGAGTTTCTACTTGTGTCACAAATAGCCTAATTAATTAATAGTAGACCAAGTATTCTTTTTTCTTTTTTTTTTTTTATCGATACAACAACTGGATTCAGTTTACTTTCGCTTCTACACTAATTTTATATTTTACGTGGCATGTAAATTGTTTTGAATAAATTATCATATTCTTGAGAAAATGAATATATATATGGTAGCCACTTGACTTAGGTGCAAGGTACAAATCATACTATGGATTAAATGCATTATTGGTAAAGTGAACAAAGGGATTTGGGACATATTGTTGGAAATGGAAATAAGTATGTAAGATGCATGCTTCTAAAACATGAAACAAACCTCAAGAACGTGAAAGCTAAGCCTGAGGCTATATCAACCAGAATCACACAAACATTTATTGGCTATTTATATCCAAACACAAATGTCATCACATTCTATTGTTCCCACCGCTGCGTAGTCTTTAATGAGGAACCATAGAAAAAAAAAATAATTTTGGTCCAATTGTGGTCCACACTTTTTTTTATCGGGTTTTTCACTTTGAGTGTGGCTCTACAATTCGGTCTTCGATTACCTGCAAAAGGCTGACAGGAGTTCCTCATATGAGTGATATCGAGTGCAAGTGCTAAACATTAAATTTAATAGAGTTATAAGTATCATCAATAATATTGTATTGAGCTCTACAAATCGACGATTTGTACTTGGAGACTCATTATTCATTGTCATACAGAGTTTTACAAGTGCATATATGACCAATTTTTTTATTTGTCGCTTTGATTTTATGAACTTCACAACTTTAATGGATGTTGATAATATTGTATATAAAAAATTGTTCAATATATATAATTTTTTATTTTAGTTATATGTTATGATCATTGCATTATCATACAATTTACATACAAAATTGCCTTCTAAAAAACATATCGATAATAAAGACTTGGTGCATCGCACATGTGGTTACTAGCTTTAATAAGAAAAAAAAAAAGATGGATGTAATCCCAGTTTGCATGAGAATGATTTGATTGTATTATAGATAAAGTTTAATGATATAATTTTTTTCTAAAATAGAGAAAACCTAAAATGATAAGCAAATAAACTCAGGTAGATATAGGATTAGGAAGGCCCCAAACTGTCAATTAGAGGGTCAACACACAAATGGGCCTGGACCCCACGTTGTCCTTTCTCACTAACACACAGCCCAATAACTCGTGGCCTGTCCCCAACTTCCCACACCCCACATGAACCTTAAACAGATCAATTTATTTATTTTTTTCCTGTTGACAATAAATAAATTAAGCTACAGCCTACATGTCTTATTCTATTTTTAACCACTGCTATAGTTTGTTTCAAATTGCTATTTTTGAGTTTTTACATAAATTGCTAGCTACTTAACATGCATACTTTAAAAGAGTACATAAAATGAAACATTGGGCATTGTTTTTCACCCAAAAATAGATTATACTTTTTTCTTTTCAATACCATATTCTAAAACATTTCATTTTCACCTCAAATCTACCATGATCACATTATATGATTATGTAACATGATTGCACCATTATCATATCATATAATAGCACAATATGATCGTACTATAATGATTTCACTATATAATCGTATAACATAATCATACCATATGAATATTGCACCCCATGACACTACACAATTCGTAATTGTACATTTGGGATGTAAAACATAAATTTTGAACCGAAAATATAAAAAACGTAGTATATCTTTATTACGAAGTGAAAATAGCTAGTTTTACAATACAATAATAAATATATTCATATGTCAATATTGCACAATTTTAAAATATTTCAATCCTATCGTGTGGCAGGTTCTTTTACCATAAGACCACACATACACAGACATATCTATATAGACGTGTGTTGATCCAATATTGTTAAAATCAAATAGGATGAAATACATTATTGTTATATATACATACATAATATATATAAAATTTTATTCATCTAAGTAGATATCTACTAGTAGGCAAGCCAAATAATCCTTCATTACTTAAATACTCTAAAACTTAAAATAACCCCACCAAAAATCCTAACACGGTCCCCACTCAATTCCTCCATGATAAATACCTTCAAAATCCCATCATGATCCTTCACAACCACCTCGCAAATTCTACGTTACAAATTCTCCAATTCTTTTTTTTACCTATTTTTCTTTCAAAAAAATAAAATAAAATAAAATAATAGTACTACAATAAAAATGGCGATCAAGAAATCGAACAAGCAAACCCAAACCACGGTTTTGAAACACATCGTGAGAAGATGTTCGAGTTTGGGCAAGAAAAATGGGTACGGTGAAGATGGGCTCCCGTTAGACGTGCCAAAAGGGCATTTTGCGGTGTATGTGGGCCAAAATCGAGCCCGGTACATTGTACCCATCTCGTTCTTGGGCCGGCCGGAATTCCAGGGCCTTCTCAGACGGGCCGAGGAGGAATTTGGGTTCGACCATGACATGGGTTTGACCATCCCTTGTGAGGAGGTTGACTTTCTTACTCTAACTTCCATGCTGAGGTGAACAAGAAAGGAGGGGCAAATTTGGAAAGTGGAAAATATATGTCTGCCTTAAAAATTATTTCTGGAGGGAGATTGGTCAAGATG